ACGAGAAGAAGCGTGCGCGCGCGCGCGCGTGTGTGTGTGTGTGTGTGTTCAATCCGTACCGACCGTTGCGGGAGGGGGCAGGTGTGACCTTGTAAATGAAAATGGTAGTTTGTTTATGATTTTAAAGGTAGCTACACAGGCATTTTAATAAAAATTACTAAGAAAAAGTATTAAAATTTTTAGTTTTCAATTTGTTATATCTCCTAAACCAATGCCGTCCCCCACTTGATTCTTGCGGGGAATTACTCAGAAAACTCTCCCCTACAACATATCTAAGTGGCGATGAAATCGGTGAGGTGTGATCTTTTCTGCATATTTACCAGACTTTTTATGTGTGCCCCACATAAAAAAACATACCATAACGCCGGACATGGCGCACCGTGCCACGCGGAATATCGTTCGAAGAGCTGAACTTTTCGTGCGGGAAGGAGGACATCATTTTGAACAATTTATGCATTAAATGATGAGAGTGGATTAGGCCTACCGGGGAAACCACTATAAAAAAAACGCACCAAGCTATCTACCGCAAGGTGATGTGGAAATGATAGCGAGTCATTTTCCTATCACCGAAAAGAAGGAACAATTATTTGTCGGCGCGGTGTCAAACGGTGGCGTATAAAATGGTTGACAATGTTGTCATCTGATCTACAGGAGAAGCCCAGGGCGAGGGGCGAGGAGCGAGGGGCAACGGCGAGCGCGAGCGGCGAGCGGTGGGTGGTGGGAGACGAGCGGCGAGCGGAGAGCGGCGGGCGACAAGCGCGCGCGGCCCGCTGCGCCCACCGAGCCCGGCCTACAGTCGGAAGCCTGTTTCCGCGCGTTCATTCGCTTAGACGTAATAATTAATAACTCAATAACTATTGCGGATTTTGCATCATAGTATCTCATTTTTCTCTTCAGCTTGCCCTAATCTATTTACATATTTCGGTTCAGAACAAACTTATCAGACACCCTGTATATATTGCATACATTTTTCCACATTTAATTGTATTTTTCAAACAGTTTTAGCAATCATCGTTACATGCGGTATGTTCCTCGAAGTAGTTATACGCCATCCGTTTCTCGACATGAAACTGTTTCGTGCAAGAAACAGCATGATGCGTAAGTACCCTAAAATTATTGTATATTTGTTCATACTTTTTCTGATTTACTTGTATTTATTTTACTTTATGTATTCTTTCAGTTCTGATAAACCTCGTTACACGCCTCGTATCATGAGCAGGAGATTCGCCCTGACATCTACTGGGTACAAATACTTGGATGTTGGAATCTGCGTAGTACCTGATGCATCCTATGTGGAATTCATTCTCGGCGACAATCGTGGAAATAAGATGGCGTTAGATCATTCAACGTGGATGGAATTTAACAAGAAACGTGCCGAAATAGAGCAGCTCTTCAAGTCACCAGACACATCATCGGTACAGATTGATAATTTACTTTTAGAACTTGTTAGAATGAACAATGGAAATGTTGTAAAATTAACGTTAGAATACACTTGCATGTATATGAAAGCATCAACTGTATTATTTTTACTCAATCTCGAACATTGTGTTGAGCATGTATATCGCAAACTGTCGGAGAATATAGAAGCTGTAAATGAAAGCTTCGATCAATTTGTGTGTTGTTTGCAAAGTAATATGATCGGTGCCGAAAGACAAGATGCAATTAGTATACTGTACGATGTATATGATAAAACTTCTGTTATAGATTGTGAATTAATAGTTTATGCTGTAGATGAACTTATTGCTGAATTCTTAAAACGAGGTGATGAACGAAAATATTAATAATTGAAAATAAAAATTTTTTATCGACTAACATTTTTCTTCTTCTGCTTCTTACCCATACATATAAGATTGAAATATGAATAAATTTAAAAATATACTGTGGAAGGGAGAGTGCACAAACGGAAAGAAGTATAGGATACGTGTGGAAAAAGACATTAATACAATATTGGTAGAAATATATTTATTTTATGGTTACATAACTGTTCGCGATCGGGTGAAGAGCTCGCGCCGCGAGTCTCCCCCGTCGAATGCGATTGAGAGTGACCGGGAATCGCCCAGCGCTGAGCGTCGAGCTTGCGTAGCGAATCGCCGACAGCGATTCTATAGCGTCGGAATAAAGGAACTGAGCGATTTGTAGAATGCACAACCGTTTATTCAACACACCGATTACAACAAAAAAACTCAAACGGTTAACGTTGACAACTAGGCACGCGGGATTAATCGGCCACTGGTGATATGCGGGACTCGGAGATCCGCTCGGAGCCCGAACGAGAGACACGACGGAGATCTTGCCGAGCGTTGATGGCACGCTCACGCGGACGGAAATCTTGAGCGCGGCGTTACTCTCGATCAGGCGCGGGACCGTGTTACTCGTTTTTCGATAGACTAAGATTTCGCTCGCACTTTGCAACCAGCTTGAGTTAAGAGAGTTGGAGCCAGGCTTCAGCCAGCGCGGAATTGATCGGCCGTTTTGTAGCCAATCCGCTCATCACTGATTGGCTGCTCGTTTTCGCGAAAGATGCTCCCACTCGACTTAAGATTTTAAAGACAAAGGGACCGAGCGAACCATAACAGCCGCGAAGCCAATGACCCCGCTATGCGTAACGACTCTCGGTGTTTTGCCACCGCGATCGAACTTTCCGGAACGATAACGATGCCAGCCGGAGGTCGACGGTTGACAAGGAAATTGTGGACAGCGAAATGTTGTTACTGACGATTCGTTCCCGAACGTTCGATGTAAGGCGAAAGTACGGTCACCCGACTGGCATATCATACGCGGCCGGGCGAATCTTAGACAATAACCAACTGAATATTTTAAATACATTTTTCTTGAACAAAGACATGTTGTTACATATTTATTTCTCATGCTTGGACCACCAATTGTAAAGTTTAAAAACATTTTGTAAAGCGCAATTCGCTACATGTCTGTGGCAACGCACAGTGTGCGTAACGTACAAATTATTTAGAGATTGTATGTCTTCGTAGTGCGCGTCGATAGTTTCGATATAAACATTTTCTCTCGCGTCGTCCAGGAGTAACTTCCGCAGCCATTCTCGTTTTTCAAATCCCTTGACATATACGAGAGAAAATCTCGTCTCGTCATCGCTGTCGTCATCATCCTCCTTCTCCTCTGTACTAACCACGGCTGTTGTAATCAAACTTCTAGCTCTGCTGTATGGAATTATTCCGTCTTCCCATCGTACCCCGATTTTAAATCAACCAGGATGCTTGGTGTTGCTCCGCTTCGGTGAGACATTTTCATGGTACGGGGCACGCGAAAATGTAGTGAGAGAGAACGCATCCTTCTCTGAGAGAGGCAAACTCTTTTACATAAAAGTCTCTGCCGACGATAAAACCTTGCAGGTCCACAAACGTTGGTATGGACATGTTGGAACTTGTTCGAACACGTTGAGAGAAGGAGAAATATTACGGTTGGTCTTGATGCACAGTAGATTTTGAAATCTTTTCAGCCTTCCTCTAAACTGTATTGGAAAGAGGGGAAAACCGGTTTTCTTTCGAAATTTCTGTCAACAATAAAACCTTGCAGGTCCACAAACGTTGGTTTGGACACGTCGAGACTTGTTCGAACACGTCGAGAGAAGGAGAAATAATACGGTTGGTCTTGATGCTCAGCAGGTTATAAATCCTTTCATCCCCTCTAAACTGTATTAGAAAGAGGGGGAAACCAGTTTTCTTTCAAACTGTCATACTTAGGTGATTTTGCGCACGACATTGGTCAGCGGGTTGTACTGAACCACTCGATCATGTATAAGGAAGCAGTACGCAGTGGTATTCGCCTGTACATTCTCTTTACACTCAAATTCCAATCTCACGTCCACGGTCGCGCTCTTGACCGATTCGTTTTGTCGAGAACAATCGATGGTCACAAACGGGCCATATTCTAGAAAATTGTCGACAGTAAGACCTGGCGTAAGATCATCGTTTCCGCAATATCTCTTCCGGAATCGTAAAAACGCATCATACAGACTCGACCATTTGCTTTTATCGAAATCCAGATTCATATCGTCATATGGATAACATTCCGAGTTCAGATAGAGTTTTACGTTGCTCAATTTGCAGTGATTGAATTGACTCACATTCTCAGACATGATATTCTTCCGATTTGTTTGCAGAGCGAAAATAACACACCGCGGCTTCTCGAGCTGAGTAGCCGTTTTAATAGCCCACGAATGCTTAGTCGTCTGCTGCAATAGTGGAAACTCATAGAGATCCCATGAACGAAAACCCATGTTAAGGTATTGTCCGCTTTCCAAAGCACGCAGCATCGATAGCTTGTTCACCTCGTTTAACAGCACATGTGGCATTTGCCATTGTATCTTGAATATTTCAAGCTGTGGTTCCAGTGTTATAGGTCCAAACAGACAATTGTTGTCGTTGCGCGATCGTATTAAAATCAATTCGTGACGAGCGTTAATCACCACGCGTTTGTAATCTTCACAGAATCCCAATAGCATGCTGAGCGGTACGCAAGAATTGAAATTTCCCTCCCCATTGTTCGACACATCCCAGCCGCATTCTTCAGAGACATCATTTTATCGACTGATGTCGAGACATAGGTCTTGAGCGTGCTGGTTATTCCGACATTTCTCGTACGATCAATCTCCACGCCGTCAAGTTCATATCGAATCTCATCGAATATGAACGCGACGCAATTATTTCCCAGTATTACATCAGATCCTTCGATTCGTTTGGCAGTAGTTAGTTTTCCCTCGATGTACAGAAAACTTTCATGTGGCAACGTATAGAGATCCTGTTGTTGTATAGGTATTCGTATTTCACCGCTGTTTCCAAATATTGTGTTGGCAAATGGATTGTATGTGTGAGTCTCAATCTTGACAATGTGATCGTCAAAGATTGGCTCCTTCCCGATGTTGAGGATGTCAGTCATTATTCAAATGTTTCGCACCGCGAATCCCAATGATTCTAAAAATTCCACGTTCGATGTATTGAGCTTTTTCTTCTTGCAGCTCCTGGATGACTTGATACTGCGATCAAACGTTGATATCGTTGGCTTCTTCAAGATTGCGTTATTTCTCACAATTTGCTTCGATCCGTTCAACACGAGCATAGCATATACACTGACGCGCGCACATGTTATCGCTTACAGCGTCGTACATGCAATTTAACGGTAATCTCTTCTCCACGAAAATCGAGCAATCGTCCGTTCTGGTCGACAACACGTATGGTTAGATCCGTAATACTCCGTGTGATGATCGGCAGATAAATGATTTGCGATGGCGCTATCGACATCTTATATCCCGGCGACACGCTCGGCGAAAACTCGTGTATCGTGTGCACGGGCTTGTTGCTGTACGCACCCGCGGTCACATTGCACTCTACGCGGATAATATTCACGTTGATAATATTAATCAGTAGGTCCGATTCGTACCATTTTCGCGGTTGTAATATACGAATCGATGAGAATCCCAGAAGCGATCCAATGCTGTTAGGCTTGTTGAAGTTTATTCTGAAGGCGCATATGATTTCACTCTTCATCGTATTGTGATTAGCGCGCAGCACTATCAGATATTCTTCATTTTCGTTGATATCGTTTGTCTGAACATCACCGCGTTTTTTATCGCTGTTATTAGTACCAGCCATGAGACGTTGGCGTGGACGTTTTCGTGAAATTGTATTTCTCAAAAACTCATTTATATCGCTTGCAGTTCATAGGATCCTTCGGGAATTGTAATTTCCGTATCGCCTTTGTCAAAGTAAAATTTATTATTAGAAGAATTCACGTTCGATATCGTGTTATAAGTTTCAAAATTCATCAAACCGAGCTCGTAGTCACCGTCACTCAAATCTATAGCTGGGAAGTAGTTTACCGCGAGCATGGTGTTCTTTCCCGTTAGCATGAGTGTCAACGACATGGCCAGAAAACTATCCAACGAATACTGAGTCTTCGCGACGTCGCACAGTGGGAAAAAAGGCACACTTTTTGGACAAAAATCCCAGGATTGTGTAATTTTCAACCGATTTTAATGCTTTTTTTTAATTTACTCGTTATAAATTGCTCTAAAATCGTATCGTGCCCTTTTTTCAAATTAGACCTTTGATTCAAAATGGTGGAATCAAAATGGTTATCAGAAATATAGAAATTGTAAGATATTGAATGTTATTGTACCAAACTAAGTATATGCGGGTTTTAGGGATCCGTAATAATATATCTGTGGTCAAAATGGTAATATTTGCCACTGAAAAAGACCTGAAGTGGGTCGAAATGTTTCACGACTCTCTTTGATATCTTTACAATATCAATACATTCAGATCGCGTTTTCATATTAGTACATATTACCCGATTATATATAAATTTCACAATTTAACATAAAATTTATATAGCTGCCAAAATATGAAATTATAATCATAATGTAAAACAAAAAATATAATAACACTAAAGTCCCCTTTTATTTATTGTCAAGATATCGGACGTGCCAGAATTTATATTTATTTTTGATTACTTTGTTTTCTTTATTTTTTGTTTTTTATTTTTGTTTTTGTACTTTTATATTTTTTGTTTTTTGTATTTTAATATTTTTGTAAGTAAATATATATTTTTTATTCGACGTAATTACCATACACTCGTAACAGAACGACTTTGGGTACAAACTGTAACTGCTCAGCGGTTAAATCAAAGATATCGGAAGGATTTGACAGCGGTACGAACATCTTTGCTACTGAGGATCTCAGCTTCACGCTCCTCTATAAATAGGTTCGCTCTCTCTCGATTTTTACATAGTTCTCTCTCTCTGAGGAAAGAGCAATATGCGATTCGTGCGACAGCCATTAAGGGGATGCTGGAGTCGTTCTGTTTTACCGACATTTTTTATATAAGGATATCTTTTAATTGGCTTCACAGAATTGCGAATTCTTGTACAGGATTAAAGTTCACACAAAAATGAAAGTCAGCCTACTCGACTTTATATAAAATACGAAAAAAACTAAATATTCCATTAATTTTTGGCATGTAGAGCTGTCACATGACGATAATATTTGCTTAATACAAAAATTATATAGTTTATATCTGCAAAATGAGACCGGAGTGACCTTTTTCTTTTTTTTTTACGTGTGGAAATCCTTTATGGATACCCGGGCCCCCCTCTGGGAAGGGAGTTTACAAAGTGA